GGCAGAGCCTCTCAAGAGACAGCTATACAAGGTTCCTGTCAGCAAGCACTTGTTGGCATCAGCTATAGTGTCTGGGTTTGCTGGCTGCATATGGAATGGATTCCCCAGGTGGAGAAGTCTCTGGACTTACCTTAGTCAGGGGCAATTCTGGGTTAATATTTTTGAGATGAGTGTTGAGCCCCATGCCTTAACCAGGTGCTGAGCCTACACTTTGCTCTTTCTTCTTCTTGAGCTTCATGTGTTCTCTGACTTGTATTGTGGGTATTCTGAGCTTTTTTCCTAATATCTCCATACCGTGTGTGTTGTTTTGTTATCTCACTCAGGGTTATATTTTCTAGTCCCATCCATTTGCCTAAGAATTTCATGAAGTCATTGTTTTTAATAGCTGAGTAGTACTCCATTGTGCAAATGTACCACATTTTTTGTACCCATTTCTCTATTGAAGGACATCTGTGTTCTTTCGAGCTTCTGGCTATTATAAATATGTCTACTATGAATCCAGTGGAGCATGTGCCCTTGTTGTATGTTGGAGTATCTTTTGAGTATATGTTTAGGAGTGGTATAGCTGGGTCCTCAGGTGGTACCATGCCCAATTTTCTGAGGAACTGCTGGACTGATTTCCAGCGTGCTTTACCAGCTTACAATCCCACCAGCAATGGAGGAGTGTTCCTCGTTCTCCACATTCTCATCAGTATCTACTCTCACCTGAGTTTTTGATCTTTGCCATTCTGGGGTGAGGAGAAATTTCAGGGTATTTATTTTTTGATTTGCATTTCCCTGAAGACTAAGGATGAGGAACATTTCTTTAGGTGCTTCTCAGCCACTTGAGATTCCTCAGTAGAGAATTCTTTGTTTAGCTCTCTACACCATTTTTAATAGGATTATTTGGTTCTCTGGAGACTAACTTCTTGAGTTGTTTGTATATATTGGATATTATCCTTCTATTGGGTGTAGGATGGGTAAAGATCTTTTTCAAATCTACAGGTTGCCATTTTGCCCTGATGACAGTGTCATTTCCCTTACAGAAGCTTTTCAATTTTCTAAGATCCCATTTGTGAATTGTTGATCTTAGAGCCTGGGCCATTGATGTTCTATTCAGGAAAATTTTCCCTGTGCCAGTATGTTCAAGGCTCTTTTCCACTTTCTCTTCTATTAGATTCAGCATATCTAGTTTTGTGTGAAGGGCCTTGATTTCTTGGGCTTGAGTTTTGAACAAGGAGATAAGAACGGATCAATTTGTATTTTTCTCCATGCTGACTGCCACTTGACCCAGCATCATTTGTTGAATATACAGTCTTTCTTCCACTGGATGGTTTTGGATTCTTTGTCAAAGATGAGGTAATCGTAGGTTTGTGGGTTTAATTCTAGGTTTTCCATTCTATTCCATTGATTTACCTGCCTGTCTCTGGACCAGTACCATGTGGTTTTTATCACAATTGTTCTGTAGTACACTTTGAGGTCAGGGATGGTGATTCTCCCAGAAATTCTCTTACTGTTGAGAATAGTTTTTGCTATCCTGAGTTTTTGTTGTTCCAAATAAATTTGAGAATTGCTCTGTCTATCTCTGTGAAGAACTATGTTGGAATTTTGTTGGGGATTGCATTGATTCTGTAGATTGCTTTTGGTAACGTGACCATATTTTGTTAATCCTGTTGATTTGTGAGCACAAGATATCTTCTTATCTTTTGAGGGCTTCTTCAATTTCTACTTTCAGAGACCTGAAGTTCTTGTAATACAGAGTAATAGTGATAAAAACTGCATGGTATTGGTACAGAGACAGGCAAGAAATCAAGGGAATAGAATTGAAGACCCAGAAAACAACCCACATCCCTATGGTCACTTGACCATAAAAGGAGCTAGAACCATCCAGTGGAAAAAAGACAGCATTTTCAACAAATGGTGCTGGTTCAACTGGAGTCACCATGTAGAAGAATCCAAATTGATCCATTCTTATCTCCTTGTACAAAGTTCAAGTCCAAGTGGATCAAGGACCTCCATAAAAAACCAAGCTACACTGAAACTAATAGAAGAGAAACTGGGTAAACACCTTAAACACATGGGCACAGGGAAAAAGTTCCTGAACAGAACACCAAAGACTTATGTTCTAAGATCAAGAATTTACAAATGGGATCTCATAAAACTGCAGAGCTTCTGTAAAGCAAAGGACACTGTCAATAGGACAAAGTGGCAACCAACAGATTGGGAAAAGATCTTTACCAGTCCTACATCTGAGAGGGTTAATATCCAAAATATACAAAGAACTCAAGAAATTAGACTCCAGACAACCAAATAATCCTATTAGAAATGAGGCAAAGAGCTAAACAAAGAATTTTCAACTGAGGAAAATGGAATGGCTGAGAAGCACATAAAGAAATATCCAACATCTTTAGTCATCAGGGAAATGCAAATCAAAACAACCCTGAGATTCCACCTCACACCAGTCAGAGTGGCAAAGATAAAAACTCAGGTGATAGCAGGTGCTGGCAAGGATGTGGAGAAAGAGGAAAACTCCACTGTTGGTGAGATTGTAAGCCGGTACAACCACTATGGAAAGCAGTCTGGTGATTCCTCAGAAAACTGGACATAGTATTTATTACCTGAGGACCCAGCTATACCACTCCTGGGTGTATACCCAAACCATGCTCCAACATATAACAGGGACACATGCTCCACTATGTTCATAGCAGCCTTGTTTATAATAGCCAGAAGCTGGAAAGAACCCAGATGTCCTTCAACAGAGGAATGGATACAGAAAATGTGGTACATTTACACAATGGAATACTACTCAGCTATTGAAAACAATGACTTCATGAAATCCATAGGCAAATGCATGTAACTGGAAAATATCATCCTGAGTGAGGTTACCCAATTACAAAAAAACCACTCAGGGTATGAACTCACTGATAAGCAGATATTAGCATAAAAGCTCACAATACCTAAGGTACAACTCACAGACCACATGAAGTTCAAGAAGAAGGAAGACCAAAGTGTGGGTGCTTTGATCCTTCTTAGAAGGAGTAAGAAATACTCATGGGAGCAAGTATGGAGAAAAATGGTGGAACAGAGACTGTAGGAGAGACTGTCTGGCTGTATTGGACACATGTTTCTGACCGACCTTTGCTTGCCTATATCCCAGACGGGACAATCTGCCTCGCCTCAAGTTTTAAACCTTGTGGGACAGAGAATCAAAAAGAGAAATTATAATGACTCTTGTATTTTTCTTAAAGATGACCAATTATTTGATATCAATCATGTACTGGTCTAGAAATCAATACAATATTGGAAATAATAATCTTCATTTGGAAGGCTGGATCTGCATATTTTCAGAGACATATTTGGAAGTAAGCTGCAGTTCTCTATGATGTTATGATAGCAAGAGAAAAAGGTTGGATAGGATCTGGCTTTCAAACAAGGGTTAGTGTATGTGTTAAGGCTTTTATAATTGTCAAGCTAAAATTGGTTTAGTCTCTTCTACAGTATTTATTTTAAGTTGCATTGACTATATGTTTTCTAATTGTGTTAGTGTGTTGAAACCTGACATGTTGGTTATGGAAGTCTATCAACCAGCTTTTGTCTTAATGCCCTGAGTATTAGAAAACCTTAATTCTCTGAAAAAAGCTTGAAAAAATTATTCTTTAGGAAGTTATTCTAGTATAGTCATCACTTAAGGCTTTTATGATAAAACTTGTCACTCCTATTTTGAATATTGAACATATTTGGTA